GAGAATACTTCCACAGCGGTAATTAGCGTGGCACAGTACAAACGTGCATCACTGGTTTTATTTGCAAGTCAGAAATAATATTTGATTGTTAATTCTAGTGGTAAATAAATTTTTAAAATATTAATTTATATTTTTGTAGACAGTGTCTTGCCGCTACCGGGTACAGCAGAGTGAAGTCCAGCCGGCCCCAGGGACCGTTTTCAGAGCAGCACCCCCCTGCCCTCGCTGTGTATCAATCAACTGCAGTAGCACACCGGCACCCCGAGCCGGGCTGGGGAGCACCTCGGGGTGCAGCCGGCCACCCTCGTCCCGGGCCCGGCGGGAGCCAGGAGGCCTGACGGCCCGCTGATGGGCGACGGCCCGTGGGGCCCCGCGCCCTGTCGCTGCAGGCTCTGCACCCCCAAACTGGAAATGTTTTGTTGCCTGACCTACATCTCCAACCCTATTTTCACAATCGGGATTGTAACCAACTTCCTCTTGAACTTGAAATGTGGCAGAGAATGGAAAGGGTGGGAAAAAAATCCTGATGAATGAAAACTTCTTCCTATAGAAGAATGTTTTAATTTGTCACACTCATACAAGAATAAGTTGGTTCAGTAAAGAAAAGAGTACAAATTGTCAGCCCTTCAAAGCTTTCCCATTTAACCACTTTATTGCAATACAACTGCCCATAACATTTGCTTTTAAAGCCCATGATGCTGAGTGTAGTTATTACATTGCATACATAAAAGATGTTTACAATTTTTTATATATATGTAAAATGTTGATCCCCTGGGCCACATTGATTTGTGCTGGCTTCACGGCTGGGTTGGTGCGGGAATTTCCCAAAGAGATGTGATTAGGCTGCAGGGAACTTTCATTCTTTTCTCCTTTTTTAATCTCCTGCTTACCAATTTTAAGGGCCTATCTTGTATTTCATTTACATCAAAATTTCCAGGCGGCGCCGGGGTATTCTGAGCTTGGGAGCACACGGCACACGCGGGCTCACACACTCCGTTTTCAGAACGTGTTCTGGCTGTAGGTGAAGTTGGGCTGATTTGTTAGCACTCGGCTGTTTCTGTGCTTGGAAACAGGACTGGGAGCAGTGCGCTGGTTGACGCCTGCGGGGCAGGGGTGCGGGCAGGGGTGCGGGCAGGGGTGCGGGCAGGGTGGGCACCGGGGCTCTGCCGGCGCAGGCAGGGGCGAGGGCACGGCCGGGAGGGTCCCGCCGCGCCGAGCCCCCTTCGCCGCCACCCCCGCCGCTCTGTGGGGTCACCTTTCTTCTCTTGTCCTCAGAGGTTGCTCTGAGAACCTCCCGGCCTCGTCCCTTCGCCGTGAGCAGGGACACAAGCAGCACCTCCGGGTGCTGGCAGGGACCCCCGGCCCCAGGCACCCCGGGGGCACCGGCGGCTCGGCCGCCCCGACCGGGGCGCTGGGAAGGTCTGAGCCCGAGAGACCTTTGTGAGACGTTTCCCTTTTTGTACAGCGGAGACAAAAGCAACTGAGAGGACAAATACTTTCCCAGTAATTTGTTTCATAATGAACAGCGGGTTGTAATTAAGATGGTATTCATTTTAAAGAAATTAACTGTTCTCCAACAGAGAAGAAAAAAGTGTTTTATAGTTTCAATCTTCAAACTTTGACAAGCTAATCTTTAGAGTAAAATACTAATGGGGAAAAATGTTAGCGATTTCTCATAGAAGCTCATGGAAAAAGGGGCAGGCTCGAGGGAAGGGGGAAGGATCCCGAGTTCAGCTGGCAGGGGGTCCCGGCCGGGGCGGGGGCAGCAGGACGTGGGGGGCGCGAGCTGCCCCCAGCACCCACGGGAGCCTGGGCACCCCCCGCCCAGCCCGGCCACGGGGGCCCGGGGGCACTTACGGCAACCGGCTCCTGGGGACCGTAGCCGATGGGTGACAAATCTGCAGTTTACTTGCACATTTACCGTGTCTCGTCCTAGAGATGATTCGAGAGGAAAGAAAAGCGCGTGCATTTAGATATTCACTGTGCCTAAGAAAAAAATTAATACGGAAGCAACATTTGCACTGTTTTGCCTCTCTGGAAGAAAAGTAGAGGGGTTTTATCTGTATATTATACATTTTTAAAAGACTCTAAATGTAATCCAGGGTACCAGACACTATTCAGCTTTGCACAGGTATCTGGCAAAATGGTTTAAACATTTATTAAATATAGAATGATAAAATACCTTGAAGATCACATCCAATCAACACAGTTTCTGCTGTGGAAAATCATGTCTCATTAATCTGTTAGAATACTTTGAACCTACCAATATATAAATGGATAAAAGAGAATATCTTGACATATTTTTAGACTTTCAAAAGGCTTTTAATGAGGTCTTCCCACAGGATTTCTTAGGAAACAAGATAAAAATGGGGGTAAGAGATACAGTAGCATTATGAATCAATAAGATGGACTAAGAGGAAGGAAACAGAAGTGGTAGATATTCTTTTATTAATCTATGTAAAGGGTCACTAGCAGTGTGCTACATGGTTACATACTCAATCTAATGGCATTAATATATTAATTACTGACCTAGAAAAGGAAACAGTTGTATAGAGTAGTTAAATTCAGAAAAGATGTAAGAAATTCCAAGAAATTTGGCCAAGGCAAAAGAATGAATGACGTGATAGCTAGTGAAGGTTGATGCTGATAAATCCGAATGTTCTAGAACCCAGAACTTCCCCAGCATGTAACTGGCCAATTTGGAAAGCCGGTCATTGCTGGGACCTTGAACCACATGAGTCCAAAGCCAAATGGCAGGCAGGTTGTCAGGGGCTCAGAGGGATGGGAATGAGAAGAGTAGAAAATACTGAAAGAGCTGCCTGTGACTGTCTGGTAGAGCCCTCTCCGGGCAGGGTCCCACAAACACCGCGGGGCTGGCCTGAGCTCGGACAGCAGAGAGGGAGAGGACCTGGGAACTGGGCCTGGAGAGCGTGAAAAGATTGTGGGTGTCAGCAAGACAGGCTGAGGCAGGAGCTGCCCTCGGTCCCCAGCTCAGGGACCAGGGGACAGTGACGGGCGCTCAAAGACGGAAATTCAAAATATAAGGAGTGACATTCTTACATGAGGTGGAGCAGTGCTCCGTGCCGGGAAGACCACGAGAGGCCTAAGCTAAATATTGGTGGCCAAGAGAAAGCTGTGGTGAGGGGAATCCCTGTATATCTGACAGTCAGAAATCAGCCCTGTGTTGCCTGAGTAGGGCGTGCTTTGGGTACGGGGCGGCTGTTGCAGTGATGCTTGACCACTACGGCTCCAGGTACACAAACCCATACACTGACTGGGCAAACACCACCGTGGGCAATTTATCCATACATTTTAGGATTTATAAACCTTAGTGCTGCATGTTCAGTTTTCTAGGTAGTTTCTCTTATTGCTGCTCTGGAAATCCATTCCAATTAGATACCAATATTCGGGCTTCCAACCTGAGCAGCGGGGTGCGGCGCAGAGAGGTGACACTGAGTGGTCCCTGCAGGTGCAGTCTTATAAGCACGGCTCACCTCCACCGGCATTTTATAATAATCATACTTCTTATGAAGCTCTGGTTTCAGTGCCTTCAAATTAGATCTCAGCACTTTAAAGAAAAAAATAAGGAAAAAAGGTAAAGGGCAGAAAAATCAATGGGCTCCCAGCGCAAACCCCAGTCCCCCCTTGCCTGCACGGCTGCCCGCGCTGCCCTTTCCTCGAGCGCCGCGGGCACGGGCTTGGCTGGGCACCAGCACCCACCGCGGCGCGGGGCTGGGGACCGCGGGGGTGCGCCAGGCCCCGGCCCACGGCAGCCTCTGGGGGCTCCGGGGGGAGGAACGCCGGCGCTGAGGGGCCGAGCGCACGCCCGGGGTTCACTCCTCGCTTCCAAATCGCTGCGTTTGCAGGGGGGGCACCAGCCCCGCCGCCCCCCCGCTCCTGCGCAGTGCTGCTGTGGCAGGGGGGGCGGGGGGGGCAGGTTTGGCCCTTCTGCAGCGCAGCAGGGGGGAGCACCCACTGCAGCAGCACCCACTGCAGCAGCACCCACTGCAGCAGCACCCACTGCGGCAGCACCCACTGCAGCAGCACCCACTGCGGCAGCACCCACTGCAGCAGCACCCACTGCAGCAGCACCCACTGCGGCAGCACCCACTGCAGTAGCACCCACTGCGGCAGCACCCACTGCGGCAGCACCCACTGCAGCAGCACCCACTGCGGCAGCACCCACTGCAGTAGCACCCACTGCGGCAGCACCCACTGCGGCAGCACCCACTGCAGTAACACCCACTGCAGCAGCACCCACTGCAGCAGCACCCACTGCGGCAGCACCCACTGCAGCAGCACCCACTGCAGCAGCACCCACTGCGGCAGCACCCACTGCAGCAGCACCCACTGCAGTAACACCCACTGCGCACAGGACCAGTCCCCCCACACCAGCGCCAGCAGCCGGGGGGGGCTCGCTGCAAACCACGCCTGCAGCTGGAGAGCTCAGGCACCTTAATTGTCTTGTTAAATATAAATGGGCTGGTGATTTCTTAAAACTGGAAGAGTGTGGAAAACCATTGCAAGGAGGATAATACCAGTGGTATTTAAAAATGAAAATCTGCTGTAGCCAATCATAGCAGCAGCAGCATTTGTCCTTTGGAGTCTGACTTTGATAGTCACTCATGGATGCTATAAACACAGAGGCTATGCTTGCAGCTAAGCAATAAAGTGACTGGTGCATTTCTTCTTACTTTATACACCACTGTATTGATTTTGTAGTTTATTTTTTCTTGGAGGAGAAACTAAGGTATTGCGATTTCATTTAGGTACTGCATTATAATTTCCCTGATGATTTTGTCAAATGTTCCTGAAGGAGAGAGAACACCTTCTCACAGTGAGCAGGATTCGAAGACACACAGCCGACTAATCCATACCTAATTGGATGAAATCGTTATGCACTTTCCCTCCTTTTGGAGGTTTTTTCAGAGTTCCTGGTTCCTTAGGGATCCTAAAAGCCACTGAAGAGGTTATTATAGTATGTCCTCAGGGATGTTTAATACCCTAGCCCTGTTCAGACATGCAAATAATCTAATTCAAAAGCTTCCTAATTAGCAAGCCAGCTACAGTTCTGGATAAGGGGAGAGAGAGAGAGAGATCTAAAAGGACTGTGCTTTTTCCTTTTATAGGCTGCTATTGTGCAAAAGGCAGCATAATGGATAAAAAGTAATTGTTCTGATTTTAATTGCAATCCACTATTTATAGTTTTGTTCTGTCATCTGAATAATGAGGGGATTTTGTTCATACAGCTTGCACTAAACACGCTGCAACTTAGTTTACACAGAATGCAGCATGCGCCTGGCATTTCCTCTTGGAAGCACAATCTTGCATAGCAGAGATGGTCCAAGTAAAAGATGTTAAGCTCGTTAATGAATTAGCCATTTAATTAACATAATTAGGGATAATTATTTTCTTTTAATCTATTGCCAATTTTAGGACAATTAAACTAAACAATGGCGATGCAGATCACAGAGGGTCCCGTGCAATCCTAGTGAATGTTCTTGCCCCAAATGGAACGGTATTAAGTATCAGGGATGCGAGGGTGGACGAGCACGAGGGCAGGCTCCTGGCTCAGCGCCGGGGTCCTGGTGCACAGACGGGACAGCCTGCGCCCCTGGCTCTGGGCCCTGCAGAGAGCTTCTCCTCCCGGGGTGGGCGGCAGTGGGACAGTCCCCCCCGAGTGCCAGCCTGCCTTACGCAGCGTGAGCTGCTGGGGCACACACCTTCCGCCAGCTCCTCTGCTTTCTGCTGTCGGAGGCTCTGCATCCAGGCTGGTGCTGCACTGGATTGTGTTGCAAAGTCCAGACAAAGATGAAGTTATAAAGACCTCGTCGGTCAGCTGGTATGGAAGCGCACAGATACCTGTATTCTGCATGAATGAAATGCCGTGAGAACTAACCGCAAGGCTGACGCCAAGCCGGTGTCTGTGTAGGGCTGCAACGGCCGCGGGGCAGGAGCATCACAAAGGCTGGAAGACCCCGGGCTGGTGGCTCTGCCCCGAGGGTCCCTCCTGTGCAGCGTGGGGGCAGGACCCCCCGCCCGGCACCGCTGCCGCACTGAATGCAGCCGCTGGCAGCGGGAGGACGAGAGTGGGGGAGCGGGAGAGAAGGGGGGTCTCCTGCGAAGAGACGGTGCTGAGCCCCAAGCAGCCCCGGGGGAGAGGTTGGCCCCGGCTTTGTGCTGCCCAGTGCCACCCCCCGGGTGGCCCAGCGGCTGCCCAGCACCCTGCGCAGCGCGGGGACTTCCTCCTGCCAAATAGAAATATTTGTTATGAGATAGAAAAGGATTCCTTTGGTGCTGGGGCCTTATTCTCCTAATAGAAAAAAACCAAACCAAACCAGGTGACACCCACCCGCCTCCCCCCTCACACGCCCCACCAAAAAATAAAATTGCTGGAAACAGTAATGTCTGAATAAATCTAATGAGCAAAAATCTACAGTTTTTTGTAATAGTGGACTGCATTAGGCAGCTTACATGTAGGTCTAACTACAAGATCTGTCTATAAGGTGCCTGGAGTTCAGTAGCTTCCATTTTCCTCTAATGCTTTCTCGGGAGCATTCCAAGTGCCCAAAAAAACAAAAGTTCTAAAAAAAAAAAAAAAAAGAAATCTTAAAGTCCGATCCTACCCCTCTGCTTGATAAACCTCAAGTGCCAGGGCTTATTAAAGCCTTCCTCTAACTGCAGGCGTCGGGGTGTGCAGCCAGAGGACCGAAAGGAGGGACACCATGTGCTACCGCGGCCACCCCAGCGGGAGAGGGGGAAGGAGCAGGGGACAGGATCGACTGCCCGAGCTCCAGCACCCGCAGGGACGCGCTCGGGGCACCGGCTGCCGACTCCCACATCCCCCTCGGGTGCCGCGCTCGGGCTCCCTGCGCGCCGCGGGACCCATCCTGCCCTCTCTGTCCCGGCCCCGCCAAGCGCCGTCTCTGCAGCAGCCCCCCAGCACGTGGCCCCGGGAGGGCGGGCAGCCCCAGCACCCCCCGTCCCCCCTTCCCCCGGCCCGCACCCCCGCACCCCGGGGTCTGCCCGCCTGTTTGCAGGCGGCCGTGCCGAGACGCCGTGATTTTTGGCCGAGCGCTGGGCTTTGCCAGGGCTGTCCCTCCAAGTGACGCGCACTCCGCTGCACGTGGCACTGCTACTCAGTTCATTATCCTATTAGATTCCCACACAGCACCTGCTCAATTGGAGCCTCGTGTGCTAGCAATTAATATGTTATGCCCTGATTAATTAGCAGGGTTAATTATGATTGCTGTTGCTTAAACCTATGTAGAGAGAGATGGCATCATGTTGCTGCGAGTTGCAGTGCTGAGGATGCACCCCTGGGAACTGGGACCGGCGCGTTTTCGCCGCAGGCCGGCCCCGTGGGACGCGCTCGCTTGTTCCTGCGGGACCGGGAGCGTGGCAGTCGTGTCCCCGCTTGCTCTGCCGAGCCCTCCCCTGAGGGGTGGCACCTCCCGGCCCCTCGGCACTGACAGCGAACCCAACCAGTTGATCCCGCAGGCACTGGAGGGACCGTGGCCTCCTGCGTGTTTGTCCTCATCTCATCCGGTGTAACCTTAAAGCGAGTTATTTACACAATAAGAGCGCAATCACCAGACGGGTGCCAACCCCATCCTCGACAGATAGGCTGGGCTCTCCCAGTGTTGGGAGGTTCTGGCCAGCCCCCGCCCCGGGGACCGGGGGGAGCTGACCCCGAGCCGCGCGGCCACGGGCCGGGGGCTCCGCAGGGGAATCTCTGGGCTCCGCAGCCACCAAAGCTGGTGAGAGCAGCAGGGCAGGCTCAAATCCGGCACGTGGCTGAGCATCACCAGTTTCCCGTTAAGCTTCTGATTTGTCTGTGTGTGAAATAGTGAGACTTGGGGCCTTTTTGGCAGTTGTGAGTGAGAGATGACCACCCTTCTCATTGACTTATCCTTTTGAAGCTATCATCACTCATTTCTCTTGGGAAGAGAATGTGAGGCACTGGTAAATAATATAGGGTTGTGTATTTCTTTATCTCCCATAGTGTGTTGTCTCCTACATGCTGTTCTGTTCTAACAACATCCATCAAGACAAATGCATACCTGAGAACAGCCTCCCTCAAACCTCAGAAATCTTTTTCTGAGGTCACAAACTATACAGAAAAGACAAAGAAGAAACAAGAAGGAAACTGCACAAACAATTAAACATTTTTTTTCTGGAGACATAGAGGATTCCCCTTGTCTGCACAAGGCAAGCACCAAAATAAGAATGCCACATCTCAAACACAAGGCAATCTATTATTCTCAGAGCAGTAACATGATACATTATCAGCCACCTTATCCTAGCAAAATGTATCATTACCTGCACTTTCTGCACTTTCCAGATCAATCCACTTTAAAAATGTAGTAATATAGAAGGGTATTAGGTACTAGAAAACTCATTATGAAAATGGCGCACTCAAATTCTTTAAAGGTGATATTTCATAAAATATACTATGCCTAGCTCTTGGCTCAATCATTCTTTTTAATAGCTCCATAGCAGCCAGAAAATAAAGTATTCATGAAGATTGAAGAAGATGATCCCATGAACTTCAATTTAATTGGTGCAAATTAAAACGATCCATCTTTTCACGCTGCCCGTCTATCTCCAATCATCAGTGCACCACACGTCCAGCACCCTGATTACAATTATCTTTTAATAGGAAAACTTGTCACTTTTTGTGTGATTTACATAAGCTTGCACAAACTTACTGGTATCATTTAGGGTTGGAATGTATGAATTTTTTTTTTTTTTCATTCAAGTCCCCTGGTATAGTTGGGGGGAGGAGGGGGGCCCAGAGGTGAGGTGAGCTCTTGGCAGGGGGCTCATTTACTGCACTTAAAGCCTGGACTTGTACAAGAAGAATGCCAGAAAGCAGCCTTCAATACATCTTCATTCACCAGACCTCCCCCCAAAGAAGTGCTAATGCAGCCAGATTTCATGGTGTCTTTGCAATGACCATTGCAATTACAATACAAAAACCTAGATGACATTTTGACTTTTAATTAGGAGGGAAATGATGCTGGTCCCTGCTGATGGCTCTCTCTCTCCCTCCAACTGCTCCTAGCACTCCCATCCTGAGAAGGTACCCTGCAGGGTTTAATAAGCCATCAAATCATAGTGGTGTGGGACGTATTCTCAAGAGTTCAAATAAAATTACCATAAATGTGTGTTTACTGTTCCCGGCCTAGTGTCTGGGATCTGGCTGAGGGCCCTCCAGCCAGGAGCAGCAAAAAGGACCCACAGTATTAATTATCGCTACTATCGTTATTACTGTTTTCTTAGTGATGGCCACAATCCAACAGCGAGGACATCGCAGAATGATTCATTGCCTGAAGCCATTTATGTATATATGTTTCAATTTTGTTTCCTTATCTTTGAAAGGCAAACGTCCTTATCGCAGATGGCTTCCATGCCTTAAGATGTTGCGAGATTTAGCTCTGTCTTCTGAGGCCGGGTTTTTCTATGCATTGAAATAATTAGCATTGTTTAGCTTTTGTCCGTGCGTTCCCTGATAGCATTAACCCTCAACAAGAGGCAGGCAACCCGCAGAACAGCAGCGGCAACCCGGGCACTCTGCGATCTTACCGAACCTGCTCGCGCCTCTGCCGAAGCACGTGCGGGGGTGGCTTTCAATAAGCACTAATTTCCACCCTCCCTTCTCCGCAGCAATGGAGAGCGGCTGAAAATGCCGTGCTGCAGAGCGCACCGAGGTCCCTGCAGAGGTTATCAGCGGGCGAGTATTAAACTTTTTTAGCACATCCACTGAAAAGCAATTTTGAGGACTCCTTTGCTGGTGGAGTTCAAATGAAACTCATGGCTGATCTCATTAAGCACTTGTCTCATTTTGGTGCATGAATATTAAATAGGGACGTGTGTGAGCCGGCCGTTGCAGAAAAGAACATTTTTCCTCTCTGCCGGCACCGCTGAGCTGCCGTCGTGGGGGTCTGGTCCTGCCTCCCGTGGCGGGGGGGAAGGGTCCCAAAAGGCAGACGGGCACCGTGCCCCGAGCTGTCGGCGGAGGAGGAGGGCGGACAGCGCGAGGGCCGTAGTCCTGGGACGAAGGGATTTTGGGAGGGTGCACCACGGCAGAGGACACCCCCCCGGGCCTTCCCCGTGCCAGGCCACCGGTGCCGAGGGGGACGCGGGGGCAGTTCGGGGAGGGGCGGCCATGGGGCGCTGGTGTGGGGGTGTAGCCCCGCTCCCTCCTGCCCGCACCCCGGGCCACCCCGCTGCCCGGCCAGCAGCCCCCCAGGGCCGGGCGCCCCTCCCGACCCGGCTCTCCCCATCAGTCTCTTGTCGCGGCAAACAACGCCGGTCGCTGTGACCCAAATAAACTCCAATCCACTTGATCTATCAGGGAAACGCGCGGCGCTGACCTGCCATAAATCCCCGGGGCGGCGGGAGAGGCGGCCCGTGCCTACTCCCTCCTCGCCCCGGCCCGCCGCCCACCTGCCGCGCTCCCCGGTAAGCAGGTAATCATGAGCTGCCACAGAAAGGTGACCCATTACCGTGATGGATTTGGTGTGAAAAACAAATGGACTGAGACCTGCGGATTGCTGTCCTTACTGCACCTTGGCCTTTTGTTCTGTCATATCAATATCCGCGCGGGGCCTCATTACACGCCGCTCCCGCGCCGTGCCGGGAGCGCGGGGTCAGCGCCACGCACCGCTGTGCCGGGGAGCCCCCCCCCGGGGCCACGCTGCCCGCCCCCCCGCCGGGCTCTGCCTGGGACCCCCCTCGGCCCCACGCCGGCGGGGGGGGACGGAGGGTCCCGCCGAGGGCAGGTGGCAGGGGGGTGCAGGACACTCCACCCGGGGAGCTCACCGCGCCGCACACGGAGCTGAGCTCTGTGCTGTTTGCTGAACGTGGAAGACAAGAAGTTAAAAAAAGGGAAGCGTTTTTGCGCCATGTGCCAATCCAGTAATGCAAACAATTCAATAACACGTCAGCGATATATTTAAGTGCTGCTGAGCAGACTTGCTCTTTCCTCTCGTGGTGAGGCTCGGTCTCACCACCGCCTGCCGCACGAGCTGCCGGAGCTGCACCGTGCCCCGACCATGGCAGAACCCAACCGCCCCGGCCACGCTGGGGCCAGAGGAGCCCGAGGGCTGGCCGGGGAGCCTGAGGTGTGGGGATGCCTGCCATCACCACGGGGAGGAGGAGGAAGAGGAGGAGGAGGAGGAGGAGGAGGAGGAGGAGGAGGAGGAGGAGGAGGGAGAGCCGGCAGAGCTGACCTTGAGGCTGC